TTTCGCTCCAAATTCAAATTTTAACAACGCGTTACCACGCGTTACCATACGTGTTACCACTAAAATCAAATAATTATTATTGCTACAATAAAATTTCCGCAATAAAAGTTCATTTCTAATGGTTCAAAACTACAGGATCGATATGCAAGCAATGACTAACAACGCGTTACCATGAGTTGCGCACGAGTTACCACGCGTTACCATCTTTTATTTTAAAAACTACTAAATACATTTTATTAAAAACTTGACGGTAACGCGTGGTAACGCGTTGCTTTATCAACAAAATACCATAATGAGTAGAATTACTAGGCGTTAACGCGTATGGTTATCCGAGATAACGCATGGAAATGCATTGTTTTAGTAATAGAAAAGCCAAATAGACAATTAGTACATGGTAACGCGTATGGTAACGCGTGGTAATGTGTTCTGTTCGTAATAGAAAAGCCATATTATAAAACAATTAGTACATGGTAACGCATGTGGCAATGCGTGGTAACACGTTGCTTTAGTAATTTATATTTCAAAAGCCATATTAAACATTAGTTTATGGTAACTTGAATAAATTAAAACTTTGACCCACCAAGTAATCAAAAATTAATTAAAAATGCTTATAGTTTCATCAACATTCAATTATCCATTAATTAACTTGAGTAACTAAAGTATTATTAATCCATGTGAAGTTATAGGACTTTCTCTAAGAAGTATGCACGGTTAATTCTCTAACTTAACGGACCGATCCAAGGATGTACTCGTCAGCCCCCCCGCCCACCCTCATCCGGCTCAGAAGAAGACTTGATATGGTACCATTATACAACGTAGAGATCTTTGTATGGGTCTTACAATACTATCCAAATTATAGTGAATAGTAAGACGCTTCTATTACTTCACAAAAATTCCTTAAATATTTAATCCTTGCCCCCACACCTCTGGGAATTAAATTATCCTCCCCCTCCCTTCCCCCGCCCACAGCTATTGTGCCGCACATAACATGATTTCAAATAACTTCGAGCTGCTGCCATCTAAGTTTTCTTAATTTCTAATATAATCGTCTACCAAACATATAGTGATATTTTTTTAATCTCTCCCCCATTTCTTTTATATCTCCGCCCCCCCCTGGTCAACTTGGCAGTACTGTACTATTCTACATGTGAACAATAACCCGAATAGTATCATCTACAGTGACTACTACACATGCACACAAAGTGATTTCAAAAAAACTTCGAGATGCTTTTAACTAAGTCTTATCAATTTTTAAGACAATCGTCCACAAAATATATTGAGACTTTTTAAATCAATCCCCTCCCCCCTTATTTCAATGTTGAAACCTACTGTACTTATCCAAAACTAACATAAGGTGACACTAGCACCGCAACTGTGTCACTGGCAGTTGAAATTTAACATATGATGTTGGAATTAAACTATATTGTAATGCCTAACAACATTGAAATCGGGGGAGGGGGTTTGTCTCAAATATTTTGTGGACGATTGCAGGTCATATATACCTGTATGTTAATAGGGTAAAATATAAATTCACAGTATAAACCAGGTAATACATCACTCAAATCATGCAAACAACAAGAGTAGGGCTTAATATCTTAATATAATAATTTCCCAAATAAATATATACAAAGTACAAACAAATCTAAGACTGTGCACACGATCACTTTCCCGAGCGCTTTTCAATTGCGTTAAAAATGGCGTTAAATCCCCGGCTATGATGCCCCGGCTATTTAAGTCAGTGTTAAAACCCCGGGTAGCAAACAAGCGACGTTTGTTAAAAGCCTGTATTTCCCCCGCAAAGTCCAGTTAAAACCCGGGGGTTGGGGGGGGGGCGGGACTTCGATTGACTAGTGCATTAGGGTTCAACATGCGTCTCGAATTTCAGGTATTGATAAATTCGGACGTGTTTAATTAAATTTAATCATATAGTAAATTCAAAACCAAACCAAATTGGCTTGTAATGTATTACTTAATTTCATATAAATAACAATGGACTAAATTGTATCCATGTCTTTAATACATATACGTACATATAAATAATACATTATACTTTATCACAAACAAAATCGCCCTTTTCTGACACATGATAACTTATTTTCTAATGTCATGGGGCCTCGGTGATATTTTATATTTTTATATTTTATATAATATACCTTATCACAGCATTTGATACTATCGACCATGCAATCTCACTGGAGACACTTGAAAAAGACTTTGGCGTAACTGGAAATGCCCTCAAATGGCTAACATCTTATTTATCCGAGAGAAAACAAACAATTTTAATTAAAGACCATGAATCGGAAGTTTTCAATCTTCAATCGGGAGTTCCGCAGGGTAGCTGCCTTGGCCCTGTCCTCTTCATACTCTATGTGGCTGGGTATTTAAGGTTATTGACAAACATCTTCCCAATGCACATACGTATGTAGATGACACCCAGATTTATCATTCGTTTCGGCCGGATAATCTTTATCGCAAGATGCTGCACTAAAGAGTATTGAAAACTGTGTTGCTGACATTCGTGCCTGGATGCTTTCTAACCGTCTCTTGATAAATGATTCCAAGACTGAATTTATTATCATCGGTTCAAAGAAGCAAATGTCAAAGATTAACATCAATGAAATTTCAGTTGGTGAATCTACGATCGAGCCTGTGGAGGTGGTTCAAAGCCTCGGAATGTGGTTTGACTCACATATGTCGATGGATATTCACATTGGAAAAGTGTGTAGTAAGGCGTTTCGCAGCCTCTATAATATCCGGCAGATAAGGAAATTCCTTTCAGGAGATAGAACAAAGATTTTGGTTCATGCTTTTGTTACTTCACACCTGGACTACTGTAACTCATTGTTTTATGGTCTCCCACAGTCTCAATATGATAGGTTACAAAGAGTTCTCAATGCTGCAGCACGTGTGGTCTGTCTAATCCCCAAATTCGATCATATTACTCCCGTTTTGATTGGCCTTCATTGGCTTCCTGTACGGTATCGGGTGATTTTCAAGATTTTGTTGCTGGTGTACAAGGCTCTTCATGCTAATGCACCGCCTTATATCTCAGACCTTCTGACACCTAAGCGTATTGGTTGCTACAGCCTGCGCTCGAATGAGCAAAATTTGCTAATAGTTCCTAAGACAATGAGGAAAACGTTTGGCGACAGAGCTTTTGCCAAGGCTGGTCCATTTTTGTGGAATGAACCTCCCGCTGACATTCGTGAAGCGTCAACAGTGGAAACTTTTAAAAGCAGACTTAAGACCTTTCTTTTTAAAAAGGCATTTTATCTTTAAATATAATAGTAAATTTGAACTTCCCGCTGACATTCGTGAAGCGCCAACAGTGGAAACTTTTAAAAGCAGACTTAAGACCTTTCTTTTTAAAAAGGCATTTTATCTTTAAATATAATAGTAAATTTGAACTTCCCGCTGACATTCGTGAGGCGTCAACAGTGGAAACTTTTAAAAACAGACTTAAGACCTTTCTTTTTTAAAAAAGGCATTTTATCTTTAAATATAATAGTAAATTTTAAACATGTATATATAGGTATCATCTCATACTTTATAACATTTTATTTGAATTTGTAATGATAGCGCTTTAGAATATTTATAGTGTTTAGCGCTTTATAAATTAATAAATTATTTTTATTATAAATTATTAGTTCGTCCGAGGTTTATAACTAGCTTATAGACCTTGAATAAATTATTGGATTAAACTTGTAGACAAAACGCGAGAATGTATATATGTATGTATATATGTATATATATGTATATATATATATATATGTATATATATATATATATATATATATAATATATATACATATAATATATATGTATCTGTAGAAGCTCAACTGCTGAAGCAACGCCTACAACCGAAAGTCGATCGCAAAACGAGAAACATAAACGCACAAGAAGAATTACTGGTTCAACCCGCCGTATAGTAAAAACGTACGAACCAATGTCGCCCGAGATTTCTTGAAATTAATGGACAAACATTTTCCCAAATCATGGTAAGTAAATAAATCTTCACAAACCTTTCCCTGGATACCAACACCATTTCCATTGATGATCAAGTCACGCATCCCGTGTCCGATATTAACCGTCAAACCTCCTTTCTAAATGCAAAAGTGAATTATTTGACACGTGTCATTTCAATAAGTGCCAAAGTACAAACACAGAATTAATACTACACAGAAGGCCATCTCCATTGTTTTTTCGTAAGCGCTATTCTTCATGATTTGTCACTCAGCAAGTACCGACCTAAACAAAAGTAATCACCAACAGGAAATGGCATGGCTTTCTCCCACACGGCGCCATTTTGAATATTTCCAGGGGGGTGACTACTTCTGTTTAGGGAATCATGGCGAATAGCACAGATATTATAAATAACCCACTAGTGTTATTTATAATTCATATGGCGAATAGCGTTTACGCAAAAAACAATGGAGATGGCCTTCTGTGTGGTATTCTGTGGTACAAGTATTGTCATAATTTGTGAGAAAGATGTCACGCAGAACTACGTAGACCTGTACGAATATACAGACAATCACCAAGACCTGTTGACATATAGGCATGCACCTATACTATACAAATGTTTGCAATTCATAAATAAGCTATTTGCACCTAATTCAGCAAAGGTTGTTATTTGAGACTTTAAACAAAAGTTTAAACCTTAAACATTACAGATGGCGAGTGATGACGTCAGCAGCCAGGTCTTGATTGAAATCAAGAATGGCAGTCAATGAAGTTTCACGTTCGGGTCTACGGGATTACAAATATGAGCGGCTGTCTTTATTACTCGCCATCTATTAGAGGCTCAATTGATCTACTGTTGACGGTACGTGTTGTCAAAAACGTGACTAGGTACAAAAAGCTCTCTATACATCAATCTCGTTCCCAGCGTATATGCCTAGGCGTTCCCGGGTTAGGAAGTGGCATGAAACTACCTAGCCCACGAACAAGCATACTCTGGGAACGAGATTGTCTATACACAACCTCGCTCCCAGGCTCTTCCCTCAGGGAAGAGAGGGAAGAGCCTGGGAACGAGGTTGTTCTATACATCGATTTGAAACACAGAGTGTCAGAGTTAAATGTCAAAATACCGCGTGCCGATACAGCCAATATCAACTATGGTCTGGATGGATTAACTATTGCGCGTAGAGTTAATTTCGGTTAAAGAGGCTGTAAAGTCCGTTAACCGTTCTGCGCATCAGTTCTGCTCATAACAAAGGGGGACCTACAGATATAAACATTGCCCAAATTTAGCATGCATCTTTCCAACTTTTTTGAATTGAAACGTAGAGTTTATATTCATTTACATTTACAATCATAGCGAACCATGCAGAAACGTGCATGTTAGATATTCAGCGGTTATTATCATATTTTACAAATATAGCAGTTCAAAATGTAAACAAAATGTTTGTTTACATTATGGAATTCACAGCATATTTAAAGTGCCTATATCATCGTTTTGGAGTTTGCATATCTCGAAGGTTTAAGAATTTTAAGGGACTTTGTATCATTGCAACAAAATTGTACTTCTGACGTCATGTCCGGTAACTTTAAGAGCTAATAAATCAATCAAGATGAAATTTTTTAATAACAAAATATATTCCAAAGTGTCTTTTTAAAATACCCTAAGCTTTCGAGATATGCAAACTCCAAAACCATGATATAAGCACTTTAAAGGTTTACGTCTCGAAGGGCAACCTGTTTTGAATTAGCTGTATGCCTTTAGACAAGTCCGACCAGTAGAGCACCAATTTTAAACCAGAATATGTTTATAGTTTGAAATCTGTAAACTTCCTTACAATTACAAATCAGTAGGTATTATATCCCACGCCATTAAGACACACACTTAGTCTAGTCGGAACAATGAGTTTTAGATCAACTCAATTCAATTCAATTCAATTCAAAAGTCTTTTTATTAGATCAAAAGATAAAAATACATATTTTATGTTACAAGTAAATATTAAGAATACATTAGTAACGTTTACATCATATGAATAGGTTATAGTTAAAAATTAATCTATTCGCAAACGACAATTTAAAACGTTCCGTGTTCACTCTTGGATACTGACTAAACTCTGTCCTCAAAGAGTGGCTTGTGGATTTTTTCTTGGTATCAAGTCAACTATGGCACTCTTCTGATTTACAGAAGCTTTAAAAATATTTCTGTCTTGTGTATTTCTAAAAGATATCTAATATTTACAGGTTCTGATATATACTTTCGCTTAAAACATCTGTCAAAAAACCGTTGTAGAGTATTGAGTTCGGCTGGAGAAGAACCGTAGACGGACAGGCCAAACGTCATAGTAGATATTACTAGGGTCTTAAATAGATAATCAATCTCACATTGGCTATAGCCTTCTGCCCTGACTGTTCGTATAACGTACAAGCATTTGTTTGCTTTGACCAATTTACCTCGCACATGACTGGTGAACTTGAGATTGTCTTGAAAAGTAGCCTATAGTACCTAAAATGGGAAGTTCTTTGCATTGGGGAATATTATAAACATTGTCAAGTTGATCATTATATCCCTTCTTCCGGATGATAAGCTCTTTACATTCATATCATTAATAATTAAGACGAAATACGCGGCGTTGTCACGCATGATGACACTATTCAAATTGTTGGCAGACTATAATCCCAAATTTTTTCGTTCTAGTCCCAGATCTAGACTTTAAGTAACACCAACTTACCGGGATACCAACGTTAACAGTTCTCTTCTCTAGTTCATCCGACACTGTTTTACTAACAACGTTACAGGCAACAAAATGCTCTGTGAGAACCAACACGAAGCCAAACAACACAAAACTGATAAAAGACATAGTCGGTGAACCTTCTTCTGCTACGGTGAATTTGCTGGAGAAAATAAAGCACAAAAATACACGTAACATGTTTATGAAAAATGAAGAACGATTAATACAATTATTTATATGTCGTGTTTATGTCGTGCTGCCTCACATATCGATTTTTTCCACTAGAAACGTCATATGATCGTTGGGGTTGCAGCTGTGACGTTTCTCTGTAAAACATCATGGAAAAATTCGATAGTTTTTCGGGAGCCTTAGTCCTTGTGTTGTGACCTCGAAAAGTGCCTAGAAAACGATTTTAATTAAGCATGTCTTAGATCTGAAATATTTTTACGGGAACTAACACTTTCGAACACGCTGATCGAGTTCATGCAAATCCGAAAAGTTCCCACTCCGTAGAGCCGCAGTTTTCTCACAAACTGCCAGGGATGCCGGAACCACGGGTGCAGCGGGTGCAAGTGCACCCCTTGCCTTTTGCATTTTTAACTTTGTGAGTGCAGTGCGGGTGCAGACTATGGGTGTAACAGGTGCACAAAACTTTTACAACAGACAGAATTAAACGTCGCTCGAGGATGTGTGCGGGAGTGTTCTACCCCCCAGTCGTCAGGAAGTCGGCAAAGTTGTTGTCCATTTGGCGAAAGGTGAACTGGGAAAGCATTACTTATGGAATTTTTGGTGAGAAATTACGGAGGAATTGTGCATAAATAATTGTATTCGGTCCGAAAAAAATTGGTGACGGGGAGGGAGGTCGACACGAATGTTGGATCATGCCGCCCTTTCATTTTCATTGGTGCCCTTTTGTTAAGGAGTATGCCCTTTTGTTAACCAATTGCACCCCTTGCCCTCAGCAACTTCCGGCATCCCTGCAAACTGCTTTTAACCATTCTTCCTTTTAACAAAGACCGGTTTTGCTCGAATCATTTTCAGTTATGCATTCTTATGCGTGAGTTGGACAATGGTTAATAAAATAAATTTATTTTATTATCCATGGTTGGACGTAAACAACATATCTTGTCTACAACTTTGAGAAGCTATACAGATAATTCCTTCTAATATCCTTATAGAAATGCGTGCATGCATGAGCTGTTTATTTGGTGATTTCAACGTATATGGAAGCCCTCTTTCCAATCAAATATTTGCGTATCGCACAGTATAACACCAACTGATGTAATAGTTCAAATACAATGATAAGTTATCTCTTGAATTACATCTCAAAAACTGTGTTGTAAATTTAAATGCTGTCCATTACATATAGATAACCGTTCATTGTATAAAACATTTTGATCGCACGTAAGCAATTATTTCTCAGTCCAGAGACATAGCTCAAAGACTTAAAATGAACGTCCTTGTAATTTAATTAAATTTATAGAGATAAATCCAGAACTGAAGTCTGGCGCACACGATGCGATTTTAGTCGGCCGATAAAAATCGTTTGACATACCGATATACATCGGTATACTCCGAACACGATTACGAAAAAAATACGCTCCCTGAACTACAGCCGCCATGTTGCCAAATAAATACAAGCACGTGATCACAGCATGAAATCTGATTGGTTATACTTAAAATTCCACCGATAAAAATCGTATAATATCAAAACGTTTTGATGTTGTCCGATTAAAATCCAGCAACAAAAATCGGTTAAAAATGACACCGCACACACAACGATTTTGTTAGTTTTAGCCAAACGATTTTTATCGGCCGACTAAAATCGCATCGTGTGCGCCAGGCTTATATAATGTTGTTTACGTCCAACACGCATTAGATTGCATAACTCAAAATGATTCGAGCAAATTAAAACCGGTCTTTTGGTAAAAGGAAGACTGGTTAATAGAAACTGATCCTTTTGAGTGACATAATCGGTCGGATCGGAACAATGAAAAGTATGTCGTGAAATTTATTATTGAAGATAAAATCGCATTTTGTGAGAAAACTGCTGGTCAACGGAGTGGGAACTTTTCGGATTTGAACTCAGCGTGCTAGAAAGTTGTATCACAGCTAATATACCTATATTAACTGTGGTTGTATATAACCACTTAAGTAGTAGTATAGGTACCGTTCGACCCGGATTTTCGGGACGGCGCGGGGCGGCGCATCATTAAAAATGCAGGGCGGCGCATCATCATTAGCATACGTCATAATTACATGCAATGACGTCACGCGGGCAGGATCAGGCAAGTAATAACGTCACGCGGGCGAGCTTGGGCAAGATCGGCTGAAACTTGCTGAGTAGGCATTTTTTAGCGTCCCTCCACGTGTTTGTTACAATAGAGAGATTAGGATTGGCTTACTATGAACTTTTATACAAGTGTCTGTATAAAATCGACAGGTGTCTTGTAGCAGGCATAGTTCTGTATTTGTTCCACATCAGTCATGGCGTGTTTACACGGTAAAACCACATCTTAATTACAATTTATTGGAAGGAATTTTTGCGAATGCAGTCGCACAAGAAGTTGAAAGACTTTGTGTGGAATCCTGTAATGGTTGTCAAGTCGGTCATCCTAGTCAAAGACAACATGACTGCCTCATGATGAACGAAAACGAACGATGGCAAATGTATGGTTTACAAGCGATCGAACGAGTGAATGGTAAGCGTATATGGTTTGGAATGAATTCGCTGAGGCAATGAGGGTACTAAAACTGGCGGTTGACAGAGATGTACTCGAACATTTACAGCAACTGGAAAAAGACCCAGATTCTACGTTTGTCGATTCATTGATGGAACTACATCAGAACACTGAGAACCACGAACTACAATGTATACTGAACTATTTGTTTCATTGGAGATTAGAAGACCCGCTCGAGTCAACAGCTGAAGCGTTTTTTTCGTACCCACCGAGTTACATGTATTATGTGAAGGCGACGGGTGAACGATTTAGAAGTTTTGAGGCAGATCATAAGAAAGCTTATCAAGGATTCTTGGAGAAAAAACTTGTAGAACAGTTTAACAAACAGTCTTAGTTGTAATTTATTTTGACGCTATCGTCTGTTATTTGTATTAATAAGCATGTTTTAAACTTTACAAATGTTGCGTTGTTATGTGTTGCTAAGTTGTTAGGAGGTGTAGGTAATTAAGGGGATTACGGCAATACGAATTTGCATGACTAAGTGTATCCCAATGGATAGATTGGGATTATTTATAACGCAGGTGTATGCCTTAAAATCGGGCGCGATGCTTTGTGGGCAAAAATTTACACAAGAATTTCGATTTAAGACACATTTATTTCTTTAAGTACTACAAAGTTAATAATTCTTAACAATATGAAATTGGTATGTATATCGCTGGAAACTCAGTGAGCGTTTTATGTTGTTATTTTAATAATTCTTGTCTGTATAAATATAATATTATCCACTTAAGAGTTGTGTTTCGTTTTTGTTTCTAACTTTAACCAATCCATTGAGCCATCATTCATTTCTGTATTGTCCACATTCTTTTCAGATTTTGTACTTGATTTTGTTCTTTTCCTGGAGGATTTTGTTTGAAGAATGGGTATATTTTTTATCCTGCTTTTATTCCACTTTGACTGCTTTTTATTGTTCCCAATTAATCTGTACAATTCTGTTAAAACGTTTTCTAAGTTTAAAGCTGTTGGCTTAGCACGAATAAGATAAGGTTGTCTTTTTTGGGACGAAAGTTTATGGACGTCTGCCAAATGGTTTGCCAATCTTCTTAAAGCTCGCTTGCCGCAGATGGGACAATCTTTTACACTTCCGAGGCATAATGTCAAATGATAAATGTCAACTGATTCCTAACATTAAATAGTTGTGGCCCTAAAGGCCGAAGGTTTGCTGGGACTTGGGAAACGGTTAGAGAAATGGGTTAGGGGAAAATAGCTACCGCACAGGATCGATCTTTTACTTTTATAAATCAAACACAAACAACCATTAAGAGTCAATGTCACTAGTATACCGTGTGTTCCTAAAAAGTCTTTTCAAAAGAAATTTTCTCTTGTCAATAGCGGCCTCTAACGCTTTCCGGTGGTCGAAATTATCATCGTTGACAAAGACATCCCTGGTTTCCATAATCTTTTTGTGTATTGGATCTCTCTTTAGTTGTCTTATCCATAGTAGACGTTCCAAATAAATATTCTGCAAATCTTTACGAAGTTTTGGTACGATAAGTAAATATGCCTTGTCTTTAGCTTCGTTTTCGTCAAAACCTTCTGCAGTGAAATTCTGCGTTAGTTCTTCGAATTCCGATAAATTTTTTTGGGTTGCTTCAGCTTGTAAAGGAGCCCATCGTATTCATCACCTACTTCACTACTAGTATCATCTACATTATCAGAATCACTCTCTGACGCAGAATCAGTTTCCACTTCGTTGTCAGTGTTATACGAATTCTCAACATCACTCTCTGATGTAGCACTATCAGAGTCTGCAACCGTTCTCATTCTTTTCATCTTTACACTGAAATCTGTAGTAGGTTTCCACCAGTACTGTATTTCCTTCGTATATAGTTAGGTTGAAACAACTCCAACCACAACCAACCGGCGAATGATCAATTTTTTGAACAACATCACATTTTATGAAGTGGCCCCAAGGGTCTTTTCTACGGCCTTGTGTCCCGATTGGTGATTGGCTGGGACACTTCCCATCAAACCGCCCCACCAATAGGATTCTAGAGAATCGGGCCACAAGGCCATAAGAAAGGCCCTTGGGGCCAATGCGAAAAGTGGCCCCAAGGGCCTTTTTTATGGCCTTGTGGCCCGATTCTCTAGAATCCTATTGGTGGGGAGGCTTGATGGGAAGTGTCCCAGCCAATCACCAATCGGGACACAAGGCCATAAAAAAGTCCCTTGGAGCCACTTTTCGCATTGGCCCCAAGGGCCTTTCTTATAGCCTTGTGGCCTGATTCTCTAATAAAATGTGATGTTGTTCAAAAAATTGATCATTCGCCGGTTGGTTGTGGTTGGAGTTGTTTCAACCTAACTATATACGAAGGAAATACAGTACTGTTGGAAACGTACTACAGATTTCAGTGTAAAGATGAAAAGAATGAGAACCGTTTCAGACTCTGATAGTGCTACATCAGAGAGTGATGTTGAGAATTCGTATAACACTGACAACGAAGTGGAAACTGATTCTGCGTCAGAAAGTGATTCTGATAATGTAAATGATACTAGTAGTAAAGTAGGTGATGAATACGAAAGCGATCCATGGGCTCCTTTAAAAGCTGAAGCAGCCCAACAAAGTTTGTCGGAATTTGAAGAACTAACGCAGAATTTCACTGCAGATGGTTTTGACGAAAACGAAGCTAAAGACAAGGCATACTTACTTATCCTACCAAAACTTCGTAAAGACTTGCAGAATATTTATCTGGAACGTCTACTATGGATAAGACAACTAAAGAGGGATCCATTACACAAAAAGATTATGGAAACCAGGGATGTCTTTGTCAACGATGATAATTTCGACCACAGGGAAGCGTTAGAGGCCGCTATTGACAAGAGAAAATTTCTTTTGAAAAGACTTTTCAGAAACACATGGTCTCCTAGTGACTTTGACCCTTAATGGTTGTTTGTGTTTGGTTTAAACGATCCTGTGTGGTAGCTATTTTCCCCTAACCCATATCACTAACCCTCTCCCAAGTCCCGGCACACCAAAAAGGCCTTTGGGGCCACAACTATTTAATGTTAGGATATCAGTTGACATTTATCATATGACATTATGCCTCGGAAGTGTTAAGATTGTCCCATCTGCGGCAAGCGAGCTTTAAAAAGATTGGCAAACCATTTGGCAGACGTCCATGAACTTTCTTCCAAAGAAAGACAACCTTATCTTATTTGTGCTAAGCCAACAGCTTTAGACTTAGAAAATGTTTTAGCAGAGTTGTACAGATTAATTGGGAACAGTAAAAAGCAGTCAAAGTGGAATAAAAGCGGAATAAAGAATATACCCATCCGTCAACCAAAATCCTCCAGGAGGAGAACAAAATCAAATACAAATCCTGCAAAGAACGTGGACAATACAGAAATGGATGATGACTCAAAGAAGCGGTTAAAGTTAGAAACAAAAACGGAATAAAACTCTTTAAGTGGATAATATATTTATACAGACAAGAATTATTAACGTTGTAGTACTTAATTAAAGAAATAAATGTGCTCTGAAAATGAAATCATGTGCTTTTGCCTATTTTATGCCCGCGCTTATAATAGCCCGGTATTATCCTTCAATATCCCTATTATGATGTACATTGTACGCATCTTATTGCTAATGATCGTTTAATGACCGTAGGTGTATGCAAGTAGCGAACATAACAACGCATATAGTAACGCGTGCATATGCTTACTTCACTTGGTATATTTATTAACATTGCACGTTGTGAACTACATGCGATTTATTGCAAGGGTATCTACATAAAAAAAATGAACCTCTCTTGAGTATTTCGTTTGCACTCATTGATCTGTTTGTTAATTTATGTATGCATCCAAGCATATTTTGCTCTAAAATAATTTGCGTTATCCTTCTTTTGAACATTACATTTAATAATAATTTGTTCATAAGGGCCGGACCATTAATTAGATTTTTGATGGGGGGGGTTGTGTAAATCCCCAAAAAATATCGAGCAAGCACTTATTGTTACGGAAAAATATCGAGCAGGACAAATGCGCACGAAAAAAATATCGAGCACATCAACCAAGTTTCCACCCTCGTGATTGTCAGAAGTCTCTCCTCCGCAGAGGCTTTTGAAGAAATTTAACCTGAATCCATAATATATAACCTTTTAATTAAATATTATTTTTATAACAATTTGAAAGACTTTAATAAAAGACTTTAAATATAAATAGAAGAGTCATATAAAAATATGTGAAATGCGCTAGACGTGGTTGCAAACCTGGCTTTGGCAAAGATTACCGCTGAAATTTGGAGTGCGGGCACAGATTAAGAGGACCTCTTAATCTGTGGTGCGGGCGTCAGAGAGAAGATGCTGGCTTTTTGGCTTTTAATATTTTTAAAATTTCCTCAAATCTCTAGTGGTATATTGTCACATGACACACACAATTTTCAGGAACTCATGCATGGATCCCCCATCATGTGCAAAGAAATAAAGCGTACAGTGTGCGAACAGAATGGGGTATAAAATTTTGAAATTTGGCTACTAGAATTAAAACGTTCTTGTGAGAATATCAGAATAGCTCGAATATAATATTTTTTAATATTAAATATATATACTCTGTTATTATCAAAAGACATAATTTTTCATTTTATATACCAACAACAACTTTAAAATAACAACAACAATAGTAGATATTATCTAAATATATGTACATGACTGTATATAGTTGTTTATACAGTATATTAATATAGGAATCAAGAATACAAACAAAACAATTAACAAATGTTTTATATATCAAACAGTTTTTCAATCTTGCTCCTCTGACATTTATTCTGAATCTGAATCACTGATTTCATTAATCAGTGTAGTTGTTTTATAATCACCATCCTTGGCTTGACTTGCATGTGCGGACATACTTGATTTTCCACTTTTTCTTTTTCGCTTTGCACTTTTGTATGCAACTGAATACCCATGCTTCTCTCTGGCTGCATCCATGCACTCACGAGCCTGTTGTGCCTTTTCTTTGATGGAAGTGTCGATCTCAATAAGTTGAGGTCTTATATTCTTTGATAGGAAGTCCAACTCATCCTTGTAACCTATATTAAAGTGCATATAAAGCAACTATTAAAGTTCAGAAGCCAATTTTAAATTTTTCTCCCCACCCCAAGTCCTGATTCGAGATTAATGTATAAATGTATTAACCTATATGGCTAACATTTCCAATTTGTGTGTTAATATATATAGGTCTATTTTCTACTATAAAAATACCATCATCTCTTCTGAAAAGTGGAAACTACTGCACCTTTTTTGGGTACTCCAGCAGGGCTGCATTTAGCCATCTTAGTATCACACTTCTGTAGGGTATTGGTTGAAAAGGTGCTCACCTCTTCAAGTTTTGCAACATACTGGCAGATATTTTCATACATGGCTTTTGATGGCACATTGGATGATTCCTCTCTGACTCTGTTTTCCAAAAATGATGTTACTGCAGGGTGTTGCCTTTCTAATATTTCACACTTTCCCATAATACTTTGCGACTTGTAGTATTGATTCCACGTTGAAATCACAGGTGTTTTTGCCAATGCCAACAAAAAAGAAATTCGTGTTGACCTTTGTTTTCTGCACCATAATTCACAGCTACGGAGGGTCTTCTCAAATTGCATCCGTTGTTCTGCCATTTGTAGAATAAATGAGTTGGAGAATACTTGAGTTGGATTGACAGGATTCTCATACCATAGAGCCTTGTACTTTCTCTTTAAGGATTCAATAGAGACGACTATGTTCCCTTGTCCATCTCGTGTCCCAAAGAAATTACTCAAAGAGTTGGGCAAGGATATGACTGTAGATGCCGAAGATGTTTTGAATGCAGCAACACTTGTTTTGGCATTACCAATTTTCGCACTTTCTTCTTCACTTCTCCAAGTAGTGATCTCACGTTGAAGTCGTCTCCATTCAAGTACTGTCAAACCTAACATGTCAATATCCTTTTCATGAATATCCTGTAGGTGTTCAATTTGACTCAAACCATTTGATTGGAAATTCTTAAACTTGTCTTCGAGTGATAATTTTTTAAGAAATGCTTTCAATTGATTCTCCTTGCCTTCTACTTCTAATTCAACCGGAAGATCAACAATCCCAGACATCAAACATCAATTTTAATAACATATATTTGAAAATTCACTATTTAAAATGTCCAATTGATGAATTTAGCATTTTATTATTTTTATATATTACTAAAAATATATGAAGTATTTCTAATTTTCAATGTTTCTTTCCGCTGACCAGAAGGAACACAGTGACCATGATCATTTAAAAGATAAATATTTAAATTTTCTTTAATTTTCATAAATATTTATATTTATTAAAAAATGACGAATGTAAAATGATGAATATTCATACAAACGACGAAAACGTATATCCCTTGAGAGCTCCATCAGTTTGTCAGCGCAGTTGGAGGTTGAGTGGCTTCTCTTTGAAGCATGTCAATGTATCAGTGCAGACGAAAACAGCTGCTGAAACACACGAAAGTATAAGGTCATCTATTCGAGCGTCCATATCAGAAGCATCCAAGGCAAGACTCTCCGCTTTATCAAGCTTGTTGGATGAGATTATAGTGCACAAAATTCTGCCGTTTGACGTAGCCTTTGACCAAAGTCCGATGGGTGACCTCCCCCAAGGACCAAAAGAGTGCCAGAGTTCGATTTCGACATCTCTTACTTTCAGCAAAAGGGCTTCCTGTGATCATCTTGGAAAACAGGGGAAAGAGGTATTTTAATTAAATACATATGCACAAATATTAAAATAGAAAATGCTTTATATAAAATGTTTTTGTTTTGTTGCTCGTTTGTTGAATTTATTCTCACCTCCTGGGTGTCTATATTGGCCAGCAAGCATGATGCGCCTGACATTTAAAACCCAACCTCACCTGTTACCACAGATGGTGGTTTCTGATGACAAGTTCATCATTTATTAATTATTAGTATTGTGTATATTTCAATTTACTCTTTATAACACTTCCTCCACCTAAAATTCCTCTCTCTATTTAAATATTGAATCTCCCCTCTCCAATTATAACCCCATGCTCAATAAATCCACCCAAATAAATTCTGCTCCAACAAATTCTCACTCCTAGCTATTAAATATAAATGCCATCTCCTCATTGGATGAAATATGAACTTTTCAAGTGGACTCTTCTCTCTATATTAAGCAAATGCACCACTTTCCGATAAAAGTCCCCCATGTAGTAAATTCCATCTATTATTAAGAGAAATTTATTCTATTTAATATATGAATTATTTTCTTTTAGGTTTGTGTGCCTTTTAGAAAATGCGAATCAACACAGTGACTTTATTAAGGCAGTAGATAAAGTAATCTCTGTATCTGATGATGAAATCATGCAAGTTGTTCCTGAAGTAATTGCTGGAAACATTCCAATTTTGTTGAACTTGATGTCCTCGTCAAAAGATAGAGTTATTTTACAAGTTTTTCTCTGTTGCTGCTTCTCTAATACCAAATTACATCAGTTACTAGGTTATACATCATCAACTGCAAACAGCATAAAAACTCAAGTAGACAGTTTCCTTGTCCAAGCAGAATTGCATGAAACAGAATCACAACAACTTGCAGAAAAACATATTGTGAGCACCATATCAAGATTAGAAGAAATCATTGAGAAAAGGGAAAATCTCCTGGAAAGAAAGCGAAAACGTCTTGCCAGTGAAGAAGAAGAAGAGGACTGGGACTATGATTTAAAACTCAAGCGGCAACGTGTGATGAACCTGAAGAATAGACCAGCAACGATAAAGAAAAGAATTGTTCGAAGACATTTCCATTCCTGGAAACAATCCTTAAAGTCCCAAAAGGGAAAAAACAAAGGCTATTACAGAATAGACAGAAGAGCAGAGAAGGCCATTTTTAAAGTATTGGAAGAACAATTACAAGCACACAAGAGAAGATGGGGTGAGGAAGGCACTGGATATTTGGAAAGTGATGGGAAGCGACTTCACAAAAGGGACATGAGAAGAATAGCTAACAAGTTTCTAGCTGCACATGGTAAAAGGCTCATCAAGAGCAATGAAACAGCAAGATCTTGGGGAAGATGCCTTAACAAATGCAGTAGACAAGCAAAGCAACATCGAGGTAGGAACTTTTGGTCACATATGAGAACCAGTGGCGTAACTACTATGGGCTCAGACCGGGTGAACCCGGGGGCCCCCAACCCAAATGGGGGCCCCAGGCTTAGGCGATAGGCCAAAAACATTGGCTAGGGTCTCTGATATGTTACAATGTCGTTTTATGACCATCAGAATTCTGTAAAATCTCTCCCCAAAGTCCAGGAAATGGCAATTCAGAGAGTCTAGATTCAAAAATTTTCCGGATGACCATGCCCTGGGCCTCCTAGAAAACTCGTGCATATACGGCGCTCGACTCGTGCCTTTGGCACTTCTACTAGGGGGGCCTTCGAAAATTTTGAAACGGGGGGCCCTTGATATAACGTTACGCCACTGATGAGGACACAAAAAACCTTCAGGCAATGTCATGTTAATGTTCATTACAATCGAGCTCACATCAAGAACTACACTCGCCTTGCCTTTGGTAATGACACAGATTGTCGTGATTCAGTTGTCCGTCGAGCAATAGACGATAAGGCGTATGTCAGATGTGGTACAACTGAAGGATTTTCAAGAACAATTCACTACCCTCTCCAAGTCACAGAGGAACCACTTGATTTACCAACCTCTGATTATCCAGACACTGTTGGATACGTATCCCCTGGAGTGATACTAATTATCAAAGACATGGATGAAATTGGGCATCAAGGTCGAGATAAATTTACAACCACAGATCAAACAGTTACTGTTACATGCAAGGCAAAGTACATTTATCCAAGTACTGCGACTAACTGGCAAAATGACTTGTTCGCTGTTAGATATTTGTACCGAGATGAGCATGAAGTTGAAGGTGATAATGCCATAACTGAGGAACTGTCTGAATCTATTGTGTCATACCTTGTATGGTTAAGAGATTCACTTCTACAATATGAGTTAATGAGCATTCCTGAGGACTATCTAAGAGTCATAGATGGAGGAGATAACTTAGAAAGAGAGATGAGAAGGAACAATGTGCTCTACAAACGATTTGAAGAATGTTTAGCATCCATGAAAGGAAACGATGTTTCCTCTTTGCCACTTGCCAAAGAAATTATGTTGAAAATGGAAGAAGCGCAAAACAAACTGAAACACATTCGTAAGTATAAATGGAAACATTTGTAACAGAGCAACATTTAGTGTAAATGTAAACAATATAAAATGATTGACCAGTTTTCAGGGATAAATTTTGCTTTGTTTACAAACAATTAAAGTATTTGAATCATACATGTATTTTGATATACAGTAATATCAAAATTACTGTGATAGCATCATCATATATACATATATTGTCAGGTATACATGCAAAATGTCCAGGGTCAGGCACCAAACAGTTTGTGTCTGACACTTCCTCAGGCACCAGTGTCCCTTGGAAATTTAACTTCAGGTTTGTCTTTAAACCCTTGTTTTCATATTCACTATTAAAACTTAATTGTAACCTCTATATCAATACAATTATTATATATATAGTTGTTTGTTTTCTCATCATCTTTTTCAGTTCTATTCTATGAAGATTCCAAAACACATGTAAAGAATGAAATTATCATGAAGAATAGTGTGTTAGTCTCCAATTGCAAAGAATTGCGTCTATATCTTGAAAATAATGGACTTCCTAAGCATAGGTATATTTATATTCTTGACTTTTCATCGAGGAGGAGCTGTATTAATTGCTTTATATTGGACTGTAAAACGCCTCTTGTTTTTTTAACTATCTTTGATATTACATATTATCTGTAAATTTGTGTTAATGTGAACCAAAATTTATATTGAATAGGTGAGGTATAAATTGCAAATGATTTATTTATAATATAGACAAATTGACATTCAGACCTCTGATGCTGGTCCAGGTGTTTCCAGCCATGAAAGGATGACACAGCATCGCCTTGCTGAGAGCTTCATGATCAATGGGCTAGACCTTCAATGCAGATTTCATTATGCCCCAGGTATAAACAATCTGTAATATAAAATAATTTAGTGCACATAGACTTGTCAGGCGGCCGCGTTGTCTAGACGCTTAGTATATTGTGACGGCCATTGATGATGCATTACACGTGAAGGATGGCGATATTTACCGGAAGAATACTTGCAACTTGTTAACCATTGACGTCACAGTGCGTCATAAAAGGGTGCTCGTTTCAACATTTATATATATATATATATATATATATATATATATATATATATATATATATATATATATATATATATATATATATATATATATATATAAATATACAGGGTGTATAAAAAAAAGCGCAATCCTCGACTGAAATGTAAATTGCTAAACAAATAATAGACAAAAACGTTAAAGTTTACATTCATTTTAAAGCGTAGCCATTCAGCTTTCTAACAGTAGGTTGTTTCTTAAATTTGACTCATTGGTTCGCGGGTAATCATACTTTACGTTATTGCGATTGGAGATTAAAAAAATTGAGATGGAATAACAAATCGTTCTCATGAAAATAACTGATTTTTTCATTAAAACAAAAAATGTTGCATTTTAATAAATGGATTGTAACAATAAATATAATTACGGCTTTTCTTCCACTATTTTTAACGCAGTTTGAAACTTCAAATGCGATATAATTTTGGCTTGGACCATCTAAGCTGACTGACATCAGCTTGCTATAATTTCTGTTTACATTACATTACATTACAATTCGATGACACTCTGGCTCAGACACCAGAATGTTTTGATTATATGATTTTTAGCATTCGTTTAGGATTTTCAAACAACCTGGTCTCTTTTAAAATACTTTTAATTTGTTCTTACGTGGTTTTCCAGATGTAGTGACGACAACATTAAAGTTTAAAGAAGAAAATTCTAACATTTAAACCGAATAAACAATAACATAATAAACTTGCATAATTAAACAGCAACTAAAAATGATAGGTTTTACTAAATCTTTTCCTGTGCAATTGTTACTAGCATTGGAGACAAGGATAATAGTTTGTTTGAAAGAGAAAAGAACAGGCTTTGAAGTAAGCCTAAAAGCGTTTAACTAGAAATAGTATTTCGAAAGTTATTAAGCACAAAAGATGAATTGCGTTTATTTTGATACACCCTGTAGACAAAAATTTCATCACAGCTTGAAAGAGCATCACAAAATTAGTAATATTCCAAAGTTGCGTTGCGAAATGTTGTAAAATGTGGATAATACAGCCTTGCGAAGTTTGCCGTTTTTCAGTCATTTTGTATTACGCACGGGAATTGACAGCCCAATCGGGTGTTGGGACATCAATTTCCCGTTTGTAATACAAAATGACTGAAAATTGAAAATTTCGCAGGGCTATATTATCCGCATTTTACAGCATTTCGCAACGAAACTTTGGAATATTACTAATTTTGTGATGCTCTTTCAAGCTGTGATGAAATTTTTGTCTAGACTTGTTTAGATCAAAATTTAGTCTGCAATGCAAATGGTCCATTGCCGTAGAGGGAGAACAAAATGCCATGTACCATTGAGGCAACGACGGCAATTTTTGCCGTAGTATAATTTTCTAAGTGTGACAGTATTCTTCGAAAAACGCTAAAGAAATACGCAAATTGTCGATAATCCAAAGTAACGCTAAAATTTTTATTACTCTCAATTTCAATGAATTTCGTAACTTTGCAACGAACATTTTTAACTTACAAACAAACATACGAACTCACTTTTGAAAATCAAATTGAATTGGAGAGTACAGTAATTTGAAAAACTGCCGTGGAAACTGCCAAAATTGCCTTAGATAGCTGTTATGGTCTACGGAATTTTTAACGCCATTAGCGTAGATAGATTTCAGGGAAATTCGAGGCCTGTTAAGCCCTGATCAATCGTGGATGATATATAAGGTCACGCTTCTCTTGTTGGATCACGGATTTTGCTCGCCAATATTAAAGGGCAAAAAAACAAAATAAAAAGAATTGTCTAACATCTAATGCCATGCACACGCACAGTGACATGAACATCCAAAGTAAAAAAACAGCGAAGTAAACATCGCCTCCTTTGGCCATATTTCATGTTGACGTGCTGTGACAATAGACCTTATGCATAATGACGTCACAAGGCTTGATCCCGCGAGGAATGCCGTTCTTAGCAGTCATCGCCTGGGAAAATTTCGATAGTGGCCATTATTTGAATTGTTTAATTTCCCCGGGCGATGAGTACTGAGATCAGCATTCCTCGCGGGCATCAAGCTCAGTGGCATCAAGCCTTGTGACGTCATTATGCATAAGGTATATTGTGTGTTGAAGGTTTAGCCCGCACGTTAGCATGACTTTATTCTCGCACATTTTATATTTTTGGGTGTCGTGCTGGAAAAACAAATACACTAAAGGCCCATTTCCACTCAAGAAAAATTTCCACGGACAGAAAATCTTCCGAAAATATCATTGTTAAAAGTTGAAAATTTTCAACTTCAAAATTTTTTTCCAACGGAAAATTTGTGTCGGCAAATCACATTTTACAAAATTTTCTTTCCGAGGAAAATTTTTCTGAGTGGAAATGGGCCTTAATACTTTCTAAAGTATAGTCGGATGAAAAAAAAAAAAAACACAACATATGAAAACTGGTGAGCGGGATTTATATTTTTCTCTGCTTTCTGACTTTCGGTCGAATTTCTCTGCCGCTAATCAAAGATAAGGTTATTCTTTGTTTGTTTCTGTTAAGTTCTATCTGTTAAGTCTAGTTTTTTTTTAAATAATTGTTGCGTTTTGCCATGTGCAATTTGGAAAAGTTCATTATATAAAACCTATCATTTTGTAGACAAGATTCTATATCTAGTGTCCAGAGGTATGATATCTGGAAAGATATTTTCTCTTAAAGGGGCAGTATGATCAAAATTTTTATTTTCTTAAACGAAAATGCTCGTAAAACTGTATAGTAACTTGTTTTGAAGATTTTTGTTCCCATGCTTAGTTCTTGAGATATTTCATTTTGTTTGTAACCATGTGACGTCATTTACTCAATTACATATATAATGAGATATCAGTAATTCTTGTGTATCTTTGCTATTTTTATCAAAATATTTCTAAATGCGGCGCGTTTGCTAATTTAACCTACATCATTAAGCATACTGTGTTTTTTTTAACAAATCGATCAAAGATAGCAAAGATACACAACAATTACTGATATCTCATTATATAAGCAATTGAGTAAATGACGTCACATGGGGTTATAACAAAATGAAATATCTCAAGAACTAAGCATGGCAACAAAAATCATCAAAACAAGTTATTATACAGTTGTACGAGCATTTTCGTTTAACCTTTGGTTTAAGAGAATAAAAATTTTGATCATACTTGCCCTTTGAATAAAAAAAAATGTTTTATGTCATCATTGCGCATGTCAGTGTCGAAGCGGAACCGTAACAACGGGACGAATATTCTATGTATATAGAATGAGATAGAAAGACTGTCTTAACACCTTCTTTTAGCGATTAATTCGCCCTTTCTTTGAAAAATTTAAAAATTTTTGTGGTCCAATTTTGGACTGTAACAATATACCAAAATGTAATTTTTTCTGTGTTGGTGATGTGTACTCAGGAGTCTCAGGTGAATATGTTTGTGATGTTACTCTGAGTGTACATCCACACCGGGCGAGCTTGAACCGTCCTTGACCGCGTAGCCTGTGGCGTAGCTCAGCTAGTATTCCAAAGGTCGTAGGTTCGATTCCCACCGTGGCCGGGCATATTTTTCAAGCTCGCCCGGTGTACACTCAGAGTAACATCACAAACATCATATTCACCTGAGTACACAACACCAACACAGAAAAATCATATTACTAAATTACATTGGTATCGAAGGGACTATATTCTGTTCCGAAATATCACTTACTCGAACCGTCCTGACCGCGTAGCAAAATATTTCGAAAAATGCGGCGCGTTTGTTAATTTAACATACATCATTTTTTAACAAATCGATCAAAAATAGCAAAGATACACAACAATTACTGATATCTCATTATATATGCAATTGAGTAAATGACGTCACATGGGGTTATAATAAAAAGGAAATATCTCAAGAACTAAGCATAGGAACAAAAATCATCAAAACAAGTTATGGGGAATAAAAATTTTGATCATACTGCCCTTTAAATAAAAAAATGTTTTCTGTCATCATTGCGCATGTCAGTGTCGAAGTGGAACCGTAACAAGGAGACGAATATTCTATGTATATAGAGTGAGATAGAGAGACTGTCTTATCACCTTCTTTTAGCGATTCATTCGCCCTTTCTTTCTGAAAAAGCTTTAAAATTTTTGTGGTCCAACTTTGGACTGTAACAAAAACATACCAAAATATAATTTTTGTTGTGTGTTGGTGTTGTGTTGTACTCAGGTGAATATGACGTCTGTGATGTTACTCTGAGTGTACATCCACACCGGGCGAGCTTGAACCGTCCTTGACGCGTACCCTCTGGCGTAGCTCAGTTGTCAGAGCATTGGGCCAGTATTCCAAAGGTCGTAGGTTCGATTCCCACCGTGGCCGGGCATATTTTTCAAGCTCGCCCGGTGTGGATATACACTCAGAGTAACATCACAAACATCATACCAAAATATAGTAATACACCAGCGTAGACCTAGGCCAAGCCACAGAGGAGAGACTATGGTGCCTAGGCCTTTACTCCGCTGGCTTTGGCAGGTTCGCTCAATTTCAGGGCTACCACCCGTTTACAGCGCGATTTTTTCTGCGATTTTCTCCTTTTGGGGGGTGTGAAGGAGTGGATGAGTTATAAACGTTCCACGTTATGAAATCTCATAACAACGTCATTAAGTAATTTACTCCTTCAGATCCTCTTAAAGGAGAAAATCACAACTAAAAGCGCAGCAAAAATCGCCCGTGTAAACGCGCCTTAAGTATCGCCATGTGTCCGCCCCGCCCCCAAATCGGCTAGGTCCCAGTCTTCTCATGTGAAAAAGCGCTAAATATTCAAAAATAATAAAAATAGAAGGCCTAGGCTGGTATTTATACGAAGCTTACGA